AATGAAATTTAATGTCATAAGACCCATGTAAATGTATCTAAAACATTGAATGTATATGCATTAGTTATTTTTCTCATTGCTGTAACCAAATACCTGACAAGAAGCAATTTAAGAAGGTGAGGGGGTTTATTCTGACTTAGAATTCAAGAATTCCATCCTGGCAGCGAAGGCAATGGGCTGCTGGTCACACTGATCCACAGTCAGCCAGCAGAGAGGGAGAAATGGTTTTGCCATTAGAACAGAAGGTACTGCAAATAGGAATGCTACCCTGAAGCAATGTTTTCGAAATGTGCCAACGTCTGTGTCTACAGAGAGAAAAGAAAGCTAGCTCTTGTTGCTGCTTCAATCACATAAAAAGGAGAAGATGGGCTATTTGGTCACATTGCAAGCACAGTCAGGAAGCAGAGAGCAGACAGGAAGTGGAGTTGAACTATCAAATCTCAAGTCCTGCCCCCAGTGATTCACTCTTCTCTGAAAAGTTCCACAGGCTTCCAAATCATCATCAGAATCGGGCGCCAAGTCTCCAAACAAACGGGCTCACAGGGGACATTTTACAGTCATACCACAAGACCTAGTGTCACTGATCATACTGAACTTTGATGGGGTTTTTTAATGCCATAAGTAGAGCTGCTTTAGACATCTTCTGGGCTCAGAGAGCCAAGGAGAACAGCCCTGTCTCTCGAGCTGCTCTTCAAACGTGACCATAAAGATGTGAGTGGAGAAAGAGTAGAAACCGCTATTTATTCCTTCATAAATCACAGACTCCTATCATGGGGCCTGGCTGGGAAGAAAAAGAGAATGGGGAGGACAGCTATCTGCAAATCAAATACTAAACAGTGACTATTGTCTTGACTGTACATTTCTCTGGGCTATTTTTATTACAGAAGGTTTTCAGTGCATGGAAGGCAGTTATGATTTGTGAGTTAAAATGACACAGGACTGTTTCCAGAGAACTCCATTCAGTCAAGGAATTTTATTCCACTGAATAAATCTGAAAGAGATGGCAGAAAACAAGGGGGAAATGAACGCTTCCATAAATTCAAACAGAGTTTATGCATTATGAAGGAGGCAAACACGGCAGGCAGATAACTCAATAAGTCACTCACATCGTTCTAACCCAGATGTTTAGAAATTGCACAAGACCCTCATATGTTGCTGATGCAAACAGCTGTGAAGCCTATGTCAGCTGCTCCGGCTATGTCCATCAAAATTTGAAAGGCACTCTGATCCAGCAATCCCGTCCCCTGGGACTTCTAATCATACACTCACCACGTGAAATGACTTGGTAAAAAGCTATGCCTGGCAGCGTTGTTCGTGCACAGTGGCCTTGGCTCTCCAGTAGTGATGAGGAGTGGAGTGTACAGAGGCATAAATTGTTACATATGCATATATCTTTTTTTATGTTTCTAAGTCAGCTCAGGCTGCCAAAACAAAATGCCAAGGGCTGAGAGGCTTAAACAAAAGACATGCGTTTCTCCCAATTCTGAAGACTGAGACATCTGAGCTCAGGGTGCCTGTTGATTGGACTTCTAGTGAAGGGGGCCTGCTGACTGTCACCTTCTGTTGGGTCCTCAGAGTTCTTTGATGTTTTCTCTTACATCTTATCTTCTGCTATAAGCCTAACCCTTGACTCTACTCTCATACTGTCATTTGACCTAAATGATGTCTGTACTCCAAACAGTCACATTGCCCATTAGGACTTTAACATAGGGAAGGGGCATGGTTCAGTCCGCAGCACGTGGTATTGTAGTATTCCACAAGGAAATACAATGGACGACTCTAAGCCCTCCAAAGGGGCTACACACCCAGGGAGACGGTTAAGTGGGAACAGAAAAGCGGAAGTCAAGGTGCCAAGCATCCTTTCTCATTCATCCCGCCCTCTCGGTCCTGAGAGAGGCCTCTGTAAACCAGACCCACAGACTTCCCTGCCCCCGACACGGGCTTGGTGCTCTTAACGGGTCCTGCAGCAGGAGTGCAAGGGGAGGAAGGCGGTAAGAACAGGTATTTGTGTCCAGGCTTCTTCTTTGGCCTGCCCTCGGTAAGCTGTATGGCTCAGTCGCCATGACATCTCACTCAACTGATGCCTGTCCTGGTTTCTGTGTCATCCCTGTGCTTTGCCAATAGCCTGCCCACACCTTTGCAAACGATGCATGTATTAAACCCACTCACTTGACGTGTGCCGTGTGATTTCTTCAGCTCTGATGATACAGTTAGTATGTTAGCATTTTTAAAGTGTGTGTGTGTGTGTGCGCGCGCGCGTGCGCACTGATTCATACTTAGCAAATCTCAGTGGTTGTCATTAGAAAAGTCACCTGGGTGGCTGGGGTAGTGGCCAGGAGGGGTATTATTCATGCTCCTCATGAATTCTATACCATATGCACACTTTCATTACTCAAAATACTTTTAATTTAAATTTTAGAAAATAATTTAAAAGAAAGACCATGTGGAGCTATAGACTCCAGTCTAGGGCAGCTATCCCTAGAGCACCTGGGTCCCTCCTTCTCCAGGGAGATTGGCTTTTCAGCCACCAACTGAAAATAAATTTAAAAAGGGAATAGGTATCTTCCGCTCCACTTAATGGACAAGAGGTGTGGTGTTTGCAATAATTTCAGGCATTAACTCTTAAACCGCATGTTAGGGGCTTTCATGCCACTGTAACCAAGTAACTGACATGATCAACCTAGGAGAGGAAGAATTTATTTGGGCTCACAGTTTCAGAGGTTTCAATCCATGACAATCTGGTTCTGTTGCTTTCAAGGTCGTGACAAGGATGAACGGGGTGAAAGGGTGTGTCAGAAGGAATTGCCGGTTCCTTCATGGCAGGCAGCATGCAGACGGGAAGGGGTTGGGGACCGCTGTGCTTTGCCAGGGAAGGTCCCTAGTGACCTACATCTGCCAACTAGGTCCAACCTCCTACTTTCCATCACTTCCCATAATACCATGAATTCATCAAGGGGTTAATCTAGTGATAAGGTCAGAGCCCTCAGAATCAAACCACTTCCCCAAAGCATATTGGCTGGCCACCAAGCCCCCAAACACAGGAGCCTCTGGGGCCCTCTCAGATCCAAACTGTGGCAGATCATTTTCCTTCTATTGTCTCTGGCTGGTTTGGTTTCAGTCTCCCTGCTATTGCTGCCTGAAGGAGCCTGGAACTCACTATGTAGCCCATGGAAATCCTCCCCTCTACCCCAAGTGCTGACATTGAGAAAGCTTTCTGACACTTGCTGGCAATCAAAAACTTTCTCTAAGGCAATAATTTCATAACCACTGTCAGTAATACATGCTTACCACATCTGTGGCTCCTCCCTGGTGAACTCTGTTCACAGAGAACAGGATGGCTTAGTTAGGCCTACCTTCTAATCTCTCTCTGATAGTCTTACCACACAGACACTCAAAACTAGCCCCAGGACTGAGTCACAATGACACAGCAGGGGTCTGTCTGGAGGCGGTACAAGAAAGCCCTGTCTGTCTTTCCTGGGTGTGGCTCATTTTCCTGCTCTCTAGCCACAACTGATCCGGCATTAGATGCAATCTCTATTTATGTCATGTTTATCATACTGCAGGACTCTTCACTTTCATCTCACTACTGTTGCTGGGTCATCACCTGGGAAACAGAGAGAGGGACAGCACAGTGATCTCCCCTCTGACAGTACAGCATCAGGCTCTGTCTTCCGGGGGCGGGGGGACCTCTAGAGCCCCTCCATCTTTGCAGTTCTCCTTCCTTCCAGAGGCCTCTGGTTCAACCAGTTCCCTACATCAACCTTTCCCTGCTTAAACAGAAAGAAATAAATCTATATGTAATAGAAACACGATACTAGTAATGTAATTGGTAGAGAAAACAGACCATCCTCTGTGCGTATCCTCCAAGAGGGCTGGAGCTGGAAGAGAAGCCCAGAAACACATTAGCATAAGGTCCCCGCATCCTCAGCAGCAGTTTGAAACTGCTTACAGTCCCAAGGGGGCAGCCGCTGGGAAAGGCCTGGCCAGGCACTGCTGCCCGAGGAGCTGACTCCCGCCACCAGCTCCATCTTAGCCACCCTCACAATTCTTGAGCCCTGTGGCAAGGGCAAGGGACCCGAGCCCTCCCACCCTGCGCTTCTCCTCACAAGGTAACTCTGCTGGAAATGCCCCTCCCCATCCTGTAAGCCCTGACTCCTCCACGTTACCATGGCTGTTGAACACTTCTGGGACCCCACCCAACACTGTACATGTCTAGCAGAGCAGTGTGTGTTTTCCTCTACAGTCATGTGTCGTCTCATTCTTGGGATCACTGTGGTTGGCATCTGTCTGCCTCACCCATGGTTTTGTATGATCAGAGTTTGCTGGGTCCCTGATGCACAGAGCTTTATTGGAAGCCTGAATCCAGAGTATAACTGGAGATGGTTCTGTACAGCATTGTCTAGTCACTTTGGGTTGCTTTCAGAATACCATGGGCTGGTAGTTAAAACAGCAAATGCTTATGTATCGTAATTCTGGAAGCTAGAAGTGAGATCAGGGGTCAGGCATGACTGGATTCCTGCTGCACAGACGATTGCTATGTCTCCACATAGTGGGGCAGCACTAGACTTTCATCCCATACGTAATTACTATCATGACTTCCTCTACCCGATGATGACCCAAAGGCCACCTCTCTTCCAAATTTTACTGCATTGAGAAAAGGAGTTTCAATATATAAACTTGTGAAGGACACAAACCTAACAAGGCCAGGTCTGGTGGCATACACCTTTCATCTCAGTAGTTAGGAGGCAGGAGTGGATCTATAAATTCCAGGTCAGCCAGGGTTACATAATGAGTTCCAGGCCAGCCAAAGCTACACAGTAAGCCGCTGCTCCCCGCATAGATAAATTTTAATATAAACAAGTGCCTAACAACTACCTGATGGGTTGCTTTATCCCAGCTCCATATTGAGAGCTTCACAGGTACCAGGTCACAGCTTCACAGGCCTTACTTAACGCTGGCCACGCCCCAGAGGCAGGGACTCCTTCAGCATCCTACAGAGAAGGATGCTGTGCTTGTAATGGGAGGCGTTGTTGGGAGATGTGGTGGACAGGAAGGCAAGACCAGCAGGGTTCCGATAGAACACTCTGGACAAAAATCTGATGCTTTGGCTGCATGCAAACCTCTATGCCACCGACTAACAGCCAGAGGTATGTATGTGCTCTGTGCTGGGGAACAGAATATAGAGGAGTCTGTGAGATAGAAGTAACAAAACCCCCACTCTACGAAGGCCTGAGAGATGCTCTCTTCCCCGACTGGGTGAGGTGGAAGCCCACCAGCTGGGAAGCACCAAGGGGTGGATAGTGCTTGAGCGGCACAGGATGCTGTTGGATGCAGGCTGACAAGGGCAGGCAGCGGTTGTTCCTCAGCCAGCAGCTGAAGGAACAGAAAGCCCCTGGGAGTGGGTTGCTTACAGAGAATGGACGAACAGTGGGTGTGGCTTCATGCTCGGTGGGAGAACTTGTTGCCATAGCAGCTGAGATACTAAGCCAGGGCTCTGCATCCTTTCACTTCATGCTCCTATTTTACACTTAAGAAAACTGAGTTGGGGCTGGAGAGATGCTCAGCAGTTAAGAGTCCTGGCTGGTCTTCCAGAGGACCTGGAGTTTGATTCCTAGACTGTAACTCCATTTTCAGGAACTCTGACACCCTCCTCTGGCCTCTGTGGGCATCAGGCATGCATGCCATGGGTACACAGACATGCATGCAAGCAAAACATCCATACACACAAAATAATTTCTTTTTTAATTTTTAAAGAAAGAAAACTGAGTCTTGGAGAGGCTGAGCATCATGCTGTTAGGTTTGTTATTGTTGCTGGTTTTTTGTTTTAACACAACACAACTTGGAGTCACCTGGTGAGAAGGAATTGCTTATATCAGATTGGCCTAGGGTCATATCTGCAAGAGACTGTCCTCGTTGCTAACTGCTGTAGGAGGGCCCAGCTGGTGGGCCTGGGCTGCATAAGCTAGCTGAGCATGAGAAAATGAGTGAGCCCAGAAGCAGCGGTCCTCCCTGGTTCCTTCTCTGACTTCCCTCAGTGATGGACTGTAGCCTGGAAGTGTATGGAGTGGGGAGCTCTTTTCTCCACAAGTTGCTGTTGGTCATAGTGTTCACCGTAGCAACAGAAAAGCAAACTAGAACAGCTCTGCAGACCAGAGAGGTGTGACTTGTGTCTGTTGTCAAAATTCAGCCATCGGGTTAGCTATGAGGGACACTTCTGCAGGTCATTTGCTGTCCCTGAGACGAGGCCTTCATGAGAATGTCCCAACAGGGCCACTCACTCCACAAACAAACAGATCTCAGTACCACTTTGCTCCCCCCCCCCCCGTGGTCCTCTTGGATAAAGGATATGGAAGAGACACAACCCACAGAGTAATGTAAGAACATCGGACAGCACATCAGGAAGTTCAGGGTCACAGGACGGAGGGAACGGCAGGAAGGCGGAGGGGGAAAGGGTAGGCAAGGCTCCTAGCCAGCTCTACCCCAGAACCAGCTGCAGACAAACACAGAAGTCCCCCAACCCCCCGTGCAGGGTAGACAGCAGTAGGTGGGAGGCAATGCTGAGATCCACAAGGAGGCTGTGGCAGGGTTCTAGCCTCCTGCTGCAGACAAGTGCTGATGATGCTAGCGGACAGATATTCTAGCTGCAACTTGGCAATGAGCACCTGCTCACTTGAGAGCAGTCTCCTAAGGGATCACTGCTTCCTGCCCTTGCCCCAGAGCTATTTGGTCTTTCTCTGCTTCATCTCCAGGTTTCTATTAGTTGGATTGTCCAGAGAAAAGCAAGACATGAAGTCAGACTAATGTAGCTGACTGGCGGTGGCAGCCCAAGACCTCAGCCCACCAGGTCAGCCGAGACCCCCCAACCCCCCGCCATGGCATCAGCTCACTCTCAGAGGAGGGCAGGTGCCCTCCTCTGACCACACTTGTGAGAATCACAGCCTCTCCAGATTGGATTGCTGTCTTGGCTTTGGTCTTTGAGGTGTTCTGGAGCTCGTTCCAGCCCCCACAGGTTGTCATGGTGCCTGCTGCTCAAAGTTGTGATTGGTCAGAGCTGCAGATTGTCTCCATGGCAATAGAAAGGATCTGTGCAGAAAGGACGCTTGGCCTTGGAAATGAACTCATGGGAACACTCCTGGGAAATGAGCCTCCTCTGCAGGGAGAGAGTGGGGGCGAGGGGAGGGAGGCCAGCAGAGATACTCCCCGCTAGAGACAGATGCTGGCTCTCTTCAGCCCGGCTACCCACCCTGGTGGCCCAACTCCCCAACTGCACGTTGCTGCTGTGCTCATAGCCAGAGGATGTCGACTTCAAATTCCTGGCTGTACCAAATAAAGTGCAAGTCAGGAAAGCAGAGTTGAGGCAGGGTCACGTGTCCGTTCAGTGGCCCACAGACGCTCTCTCTGCCCACTCCGCTGCTTTTGACCCTCTTCCTTCCCAAGTCCACACAGTTCAGCCTCTCTCCAACCCTGACCTGACCCTGGACCACTCAAACGGCTGAAAATAATGTCCTTCCTCCCCCCATAAGACCTTCAAAAATGAAATAAACATCCACTAGTTCCCAGTCTCCAGAAGATACTTTCCTTTCTCACCTATGACTCTTTCTCCTTTGTTTTTCAAACCAGCAACCTGGGCTTTGGCATAGTTCTGCCTCCCTGTAGATCTCAAGGGTTTTCTGAGCCTCCTGGTCTTTTTTTAACAGGCACTTGCACCGCCAGGTAGATCTGGGTTCAGAGTGATTGCCTCTCGGGCAGGAAGCCTCTTCCAAGCACCTCTAATCTCTCCCTATTACACTTTCTTTTTTAAAAAGGATCAGAAGCCCATCCCTACTTGAATGTGACTGATAACAGAGTGGCAGCTTTCTCCTTCGAGGCAATCAGAGGTTAAATCAGCAAGGATCAGGCTGGAAGGAGGGCTGGGACTTCACTCTTAGAAAAAGCACTAGGAGGGCAAAGCCGGTCTGTTCCCCAAAGCATTCGCCCTTGCTTCTGGCTCCTTTGGATGCTGCAGGGAGTTTGTTTTTGTTTCAGCTCCTATTTTTAAAGGCTAACAATGCAACTTCTCATAAAATTCTAGCGTGCTCAAGCTGGGTTGCTGTTGCTCTAAGAGCACCCAGGCCTTCTGGGCCCTGAGCACAGAGCCCAGCCGCTTGGTGATGAAGCTGGGTGGGGAAGCAAACCCAACCCCATGCCACCCAGGATCGGATGCAGCTACACACTGACCAACCGCACTCCCTGGCCCAGGGCTGTGACTGGAAGTCAGTTCGCCCAGTAGCTTCTGTAAGGCACTTATTAACTAAGCCTGCTTCCTTGGAAACCTTTAACCTAATCTTTAACCTCATTTGTCTGGTGGGCCTAGGTATCTCAGACAACACCTCTTTTCTCTCCCACACCGTTTTTATGTGGGATGATTGATTCGTGCTCTCTCTCTCTCTCTCTCTCTCTCTCTCTCTCTCTCTCTCTCTCTCTCTCTCTGTGTGTGTGTGTGTGTGTGTGTGTGTGTCTGTCTGTCTGTCTGTCTGTCTCTCCCTCTCTCCCTCTCTCCCTCTCTCCCTCTCTCCCCCTCTCCCTCCCCCACCTCTCTACCCAGCGTCACTACTTCTTACCTAATAGTGCAGCCAAGATGCATGTTCCCTTTTACCCTCACTAGCACCTTTGAACAGAGTCACCCGCAGAGGGCAAAGCAACCTCACCACTTCTTAGTGACACTTGGTTTCTCCTGGGGCCTCCCACTAAAAGCAGACCAAAAAGGTCCTTAGCAGGTACACCTGGGTCCCAACACTAGCTTTGCCAGCAGCTGCACTGAGCTGTCTTCCCTTGGAATCCTCCCAAAGTGGGGCTTTAGGTCAACCCTGGGACTGGGGAGACAGCTGGGGGTGCAGAAACAAAAGGATTCCTGGGCTTGCTGGCCAATATAATGAAATCAGCAAGCTCTTGATTAATAAAAGACCCTGTCTCAAAAACTAAGGGAAAGAGCAATTGAGGAAGATACACCTTGTTGACCTCTGACCACAGAGAGTGTGTGTATATAAAAGCAAAATTAAAACAACCAAAAGGTCAGTCTCTTGTGATGTAGCCCTGAGGAACAGGAGTGAAGGAGGAGGGACAGATAAGCCAGTCGTCAAGAGGAGCCGGCAAAGGCTGCCATGAGGGGTTGCAGCTATGGGCAGCAGGCATCAGTTCCACAAGGGCCTCCTGAATTATGCAGAGTACCTTCCAGACGCTGCACCCGTGGGACAGAGACTAATATCCACCACCTCCTATCCCTGCCGCATACACGCTGCCCTTCTGCATGACTCCGTACACAACCCAAGCAAATTCTCCTGGAGCCACTCAACTGGAACCCTAATCCTTCCTGGAATCTTGGGTGCTTCTCTGAGACCAGAGGTGAGAACTGCCCCAGGAGTAGTAAGGAGAGAACTTGTAAGCCGTGCTTAGTCCTGAATAAAGGCTGGGTGAATGGCAGCTCCAGCTCCCTGGCTCTCAGCCCTGGGGGAACCCATCTATTGAGCTGTGGGGTTCTAATCCTACAGCCGTATCCACCCCACCTCCTGGGTGGGACCCAGATTGAGTGGAACTGGAAGTCAGGTAAGGAAAAAGCTCCTGAGAAAGCACCCCGAGTCTCTCTCTCTCTCTCTCTCCCTCCCTCCCTCTCTCTCTCTCTCTCTCCCTCCCTCTCTCTCTCTTTCTCCCCCCTCTCCCTCCCTCTCTCTCTCTTTCTCCCCCCCTCCCTCTCTCTCTGAAATATGAGTTGTGTATGCTGCTCAGGTGCACATGAATGCTGTCTTACTTTTCTACTGATGTAATAAGGCACCATGACCAAAACACCTTCTAGAAGAACGAGTTTATTGGTTTACAGTTGACCGTCATGCAGGAGAACATGACAGCAGACAGGCAGGCCAGGCTCCAGGGCAGTAGCTGAGAGCTTACATCAGATCAACAAGCACGAGGCACAGAGAACTAACCGGAAGTGGTGTGGGTTTCTGCAACATCAAAGCCTGTCCCCAGGGGCACACCTTCTCCAACAAGGCCACACCTCCTATTCCTTCCCAAATAATTCTACCAACCAAGGACCAAACATTCAAATATACAAACCGAAGGAGGCCGCTCTCTTCAAACCACCACGTTCCATTCCCTGCCTCCCATAGGCTTGTAGCCATATCATAATGAAAACTGCATTTGGTCAACTTCAAAAGTCCTCATAGTCTCAACACGATTTAAAAGTCCAAAGTCTCTTGTACCAGGCTTTCTTTGGGGCTACCAACCAGCTCCCAAATCACGACACAGAGACTTGTTATTAGTTATGAATGTCTGGCCTTATCTCATGCTCATTTCCAGTTAGCTCTTATAACTAATTTAACCTGTTTCTCTTCATCTATGTTTTGCCTTGAGGCTTTTTACCATTCTTTCCTTCTGTATGTCCTACTTTGTGTCTTGCTGGCTGGCAGCTGCCTGGCTGGCCCCAGGTGTCTCCCTCTCTTTTTCCCTCATTCTCTCTTTCCTTCCTCCTACTGCTTATTCTCTCTGCCCGCCAGCTCCACCTATCCCTTTACTGCCTAGCTATTGGTCATTCAGCTTCTTAGTAGACCAATCAGGTGCCTTGGGCAGGCAAGGTAAAACAGCAACACAGCTTTACATAGTTAAACAAATGCAGCAGTCTCTTCTGAGGCTCAAGGCAATCTCCTAGTTGTAACCCCCGTCCCTATAAACAAAAGCAAAAAGCAAATTACATGCTTGCTACATACTATGACACAAAAAGTACATTACCATTTTGTGCAGACTAGTTTTTGTCAACTTGACATACTCTAGAGTCATCAGAGAAGAGGGAACCTCAACTGAAAAATGACTCAATAAGTCTGGGCTGCAGACAAACCTTTAGGTCATTTTCTTAATTAGTGATTGATGGGGAGGGCACAACCCATTGTGGGTGGGGCCATCCCTGGACTGGTGGTCTTGGGTTCTATGAAAAAGAAGGATGAGCAAGCCATTGGAGAACAGTAGGTGGCACCCCTCCATGGTCTCTGAATCAGCTCCGGCCACAAGGCTCCTACCCTATTTCCAGACCTGACTTCCTTTGATGATGAACTGTGATGTGGAAGCATGAGCCCAAATTTCTTTGGTCACAGCAATAGTAACCCTGACTAAGACAAATCCTGGAAGGGAGAAAGAGAGGCCTAGTGAGGAAATACTGAACCAAAGCAAGACCAAACCCAGCAGGGCAAACTCCAAACCGATCCGTATCTGATGTCAAAGGCTTAGACGGCTTCTCCCTTTCAGCTTCGCTGACTGTAGCACACTTTCCTCCCTTGGGCTGGCGCCACTCCCTGTGGAGCTCTCCTAGGCAGGTGCCTCACTGTTCCATGCAATGGCCTCTCAGAGCCTTTGTGCAGGAACTCCCCTGCCTTCCACCTGGCCTCATTGGTTCTCCATGAGGAAGATGCCACAACCACCTTACTCTTGTATCCCTCGTGATTCTAAACCTAGAACCGCATGGACATCACTGCCCAGTTGAACCCACTTGGGATGGAGCCTGGCCCACTCCTTGGGTCACATTTGAATAAGCTTTTCTTTATTGCTTTTTAGGAACAGAAGGTTCCCCGGGCCTTTCCTTTTCTCAGGTTGGAAGCCTATTTGGGTGGGGTCTCACATGGAGGGCACCCTTCCTTTTAGTCTGCTTCACATCAGGCCTCTCCTTAGCCATTTCAGCATAAGCCTTGGCTCCAGTATTAAATCTCCCGGTACTCTTCTTCACTTCAAACTGTACGTTTTGTGTTTCCTTTTACCCTATTTGCACTTTCCCATTGCAGATCTGCATATGAATAAGCCCTAATAACCACACAATGACACCAATGACACACCTCCTCCAACAAAGCCATACCTCCTAATTCTTCCCAAATACTTCTATTCACTGGGAACCAAACTTTCAGATACATGAGCCTATGGGGGCCATTTTCATTCAGACCACCGCACTTACGCATGCAGAGACCAGGTGTCAACACTGGGAATTATTCCTCAGGTGCTGCCATCTTTTTTTTTTTTTTGAGAGAAGTCTCTTGTTGTCCTGGAGCATGCCAATGAGGTTAGACTGGCTGGTAAGTGAACCCTAGAGATCTACCTGTCTCCCTACACCAGCACAGACAAAAGCATGCTCTATCAGGCCCAGTTTTAACACATGCACTAGAGATTGACTGACTGACCAATCTCCTAGACCACATGTTTTTTCTCTCTTTCCTCAAAGAAAGACCAACTCCTTGTGACCTAGGGCTCTTGGGGAAGGGGGCGGCACTACAGCTCTGGAGTGGGCAGGGGACAGAATTAAAAACTAATCTTAAAAGGAACAATGTTACAGAAAATTCATGCCCAAGGAAAAGTTTTCTAGAAGCAAGAAGAGATAGGCACATCTGAGTAATCCTGCAGAAGAGGAATTTTCATTCAATCACCGTTCATTTGTTGTTCAACAGACTTTCACTGATGACTTTCGGTGTAACAAGTTCCCCGCTAGAGGTTGGAACTTCAAAGGAAAACAGAAAGTGCAATGATGCCCATGCCCCATGATGAGCGGGAGCAA